ATCTATTGATTTGTCAACTATCGAATCTTCGAAATATTCATCTTCATACATGACTTCTTCTTCATCATTCTTGTTATAATCATCTTCTCCAAAATCATTTTCCACTATATTATCTATTTCGTCTTCATCAGTATCATTATCATTATTATGATCATACACATCCTCATCAATATTTTCTGTTGTATCTTCTATTTCATCCTTATATATATTGTCATCATCCTCATCATTATCACTACCATGATAATAATTCTCGTTATCTTCATTCTCATCATTTATATTATAAATATAAAGGCATTTAATATAATACATTGTAATTGTTATTAACAGTTTTATTATATATGTTATTCACTTATCCATTTTAGTTAAAATTATTCGTTTATGCTTTTGGAGAATATTGCGGCTAGAATAGTTTGAGTTTTTTCGTAAAGAAAATGGTTTAAATGATGAAAGATGATGTTTGCGTATTTTTCAAATTTAAAAAATTAAAAAAAAATTTTTCGTAATATTAAATAGAGAGCTATTTTTTTTAAAAAGTTTATTTGATTTATATATTTAGCGTTACATTAATAATCTATTTTATTTAGTATAGCATAATCAACTAATGCTTATTTATTCTAGATTACTAATCATATGAATCTTATTTTACTAAAAATAGTAATTTGGTAATAGCTCTTGAGTATTATCTAGTAAATAATTAATAAATCCATGCATAATACACACAGACTATACAAATAATTTGTCAGATGACCCTGAGAAAATTCATTCATAAAAAATTATTTTGTAAATCATTATACAAAAACAAATTCTGCTTATATAGAAGCTAACCAGTTTAATAACTTAATTATTATCTAATTATACTATTAAGTTACAAAAAAATTCAACATGCGGGATTTAATTTTATTACTAATATGTATATTTTTACTTACATATCAACTATAGTTTTTAATATATGCTAAAATAAGCGTAAGAACAAAATATTTAATTATGACTGTATTATCGACAAATCATTAATGCAAGCGTTAGTATAGTTTTATTAATTAATTAATCTAAATATAAAAGGATTAAATTGTGGCTAACAACTATTCTATCTTTATTCAACAAAAAACTATTGTTTTATTATAATATAAAAACCATCAAAAATAATAAAAACACAAACAACAAAGAATTTAGCAGGTAATAATGTGAAGATAAGCTTTCTGATGTATAATTTTATGGGTATCGATAAATTAAAAATCTTTTTATTTAACCAGATGATTATGGCAGTAAAATCAGGATATCAAACCTGATACTTCAATCCAAAAACAAGTAATCACAGCAGGTGATGAAATATTAGATTTTAATATTGATTCTTTGTTATATTAATTTTTATTTATTTTTTAGTTGGTCGAGGCTGAAACTGAGGCTATAGTTGTAGTCGTGGTCATAGTCGTAGTCGTGGTAGAGGAAAAACAGAGACAGAAGGTTAGTAATTTATTTTATATTCATTTAAAATATCCTATAATAATATTTAATTATATTTAGGAGATCGTGAAAAAGGTGGTTACAGAAAAGTTAGTCAAGGTAGTGGAAAGACTGTTATGAAGCCTATTACTACACCTATAACTTCCCAAATCGATTCACATGAAACTAATGAAGCAGATAGTAATGGAAGAGAAGAAATAATTATGGAAATGTCTACTATCGTCACTTCCTCTAATAAATGTTGTGAAAAAGGAAAGCAAGTTATTAGACCAATTTTAACTATTCCAATTCTAATGACTCCTATGAAGCTGATGTGACTTACTACACAAAAAATCATGACAATGATAATAATTACGATAATGATGATGAGAATAAAGATACATGTGATGGTTTCTGCAAGTAAGAAATATAATTAAAATGCAAAGGTTTAATATGCTTTTTTTATTTGAAACTAATTTCTTTATCATTTATTTTTTATTAATATTCTATGATTTTATAAGAATTTATTAACAAATCAAGGTTCAAAGACTTTGAACATTTTAATGCTGCAGGCAGTATGTCATCATATGCATCCATAAAACATAGTCTACCTACTGAAGGAACCTTATCATAGAACTATTATAATTAACAGACAGTGAAGAAGAAACTAGTAAATACATAAAGGATACATACTTTGTATATTATGCTTTATATTTATGTAAAAATATTTGAAATAATTAGGTCATTATCATGAAGAAAGAACTAAAATAATAAAAGCTAATAATAAACGAAAAAATTATGCTATTTACGAAGACCTTGACAATGATGAGTAATTTGCTGACCCTATAAATAATATGTATAAGAAAAGAATACGAAAATAATACGTTTAAAAAATGTATAATAAACATAGAAAAATAATATAATAAATTCGTAAATATTTCCGTATACTAGATACCGAAAATCGTCTTTTTTCATATGCAAAAAAATACTGAATTTATACGTCTAATCAGTATAATGTATATGTAATTTTTGTTAAATTTTATACGTTAAA